CAGGTTTCCGTGCCTCAGTTTCCCCATCTTTAAAACAGGGATAAGTCTCTTGCCAGTGGGTTGAGGAGCGTGAGGGGTTCAGGTAGGGGGGTGCTGGGAACCAGACAGGAGCCCGATAGTCTCAGATGGGCCTGTTTGGGTGACATCCCCCCTCGGGGGTCAGGGTGTGGGAGGGGCCCCGAGGGGGGTGGCAAGACCAGCAGCTGGCAGGCATGGGGTAGCACCCGCCGGGAGCCATCTAACACGGTGCCACCGTGGCCGCATGGGAGGTGGCACCCCCAGGTATGGGGCTGTCAGGACACCCCCTCACCCCTAGAAATCCAGAGCCAACAGGGCCGTAGCCTCCGCTCTTGTCTCGCCAGGTCGCTTGGCAACGCACCGGGCACTGTTGCTAAGCAACGGTTCCATGGTAACGCGGAGACGGATTGAGTGATGCCGTGCAGTGCCGGTGGCAGGGCCTGTCCTGCAGGCAGCAGCCTGGGGCCACGGTCGCCTCCCCCAGAGCTTGGCAGAGGGAGGCCCTGGAGCCCGAGCTGGGCAAACCGGCGGGGAAAGGACCCCGAGCAGCCAGGCCTCGAACCGGCCCCCTGGGGCCAAACCCAGCCGCTGCTGCCCTCGCTGGCCGTGGGGCTGGGCAGTGGGCCCCCCGCTGGCGGGGGCAGGGAACGCTGGGCAAACGGTGCCGTGTCGCCAGGCTGGGTGCAATGTGCGTAGAGGAGGGGGTCCTGGATCCAGGCCCGGCTGGAGGGGCGGTGGCGTGGAGATGGGGCTGCTCTATGTACCTCCAGGAGCCGTGTGTAGGGTGCGCAGGGGAGTGTTTGGGGGTCTGCGTGGGGCCGGGCGGGGGGGCAGACCCCGCCGCCGGGGGAACCCGGGGGCAGCTCCGTGCCTCTCTCCCTCCGGGCTCTCTAGGCCAGTGTTCCCCAGAGCCACCAGGCCTGTCAATAGCCTCTCTGTGCCGCCTCTCGGAGCCAGTCAGCTTCCCATGGAAGGGCCCAGGTGCCAGCCCCACCCCCATCCTCGGGCTGGCACAACCCCACCGGCAGGGGTTGATACCAGGGGGCTGCCTGGGAGCTGCTTCCTTCCCAGAGCCCTGTACCCCGCTGCCCCGAGCAGCACTGCAGAACCGCACCTGCGGACCCGGAGCCCTGATGCCGGCTTTGTGGCCCCTGGGCACCAGGCTAGCTGGCATCTGGAGGCCAGGGGCAGTGTGGGGTAGGGCCTGAGGTGGGAGGCAGGGGAGGAGATGCCAGTGGTGCCAAGTGCCCCACACAAACCCCCTCTGTCTTTATCCATCTTCCCCACACACCCCATCTATCTATCTATCCCCACACACCCCATCTATCTATCTATCTATCTATCTATCTATCTATCTATCTATCTATCTATCTATCTATCTATCTATCTATCTATCTATCTATCTATCTATCTATCTATCTATCTATCTATC